AAAGTTAGATATAATTATTATAGTAATATAGTATTAAACAAAGTTTAAAGGATTGTAAGGTAAGTAAAATCCTAATTAAAAAACATATAATATAATTATATAAAATACAAATTATAAATAATCAATATTTTTAGTTATTTGAACTTTATATAAAAAGAAAGGTAGAATAAAATTTGTGAATCCTTTTTTGAAAAAAACCTAATAAGTATTTAAAAAGTATTCTATTTGAATTTATATTAAAATTTAATTAAATTTAAACTATTTATTTTTTAGTTTCTCAAGTAGAAGATAGAAGGCAATCAGAATTTGAGCAATGTAAGTTTTGTTATTTAAGTTTAAAATATTTTAAACTTATTTTAACTTAAATTATAATATTTACTTTACTGAAAATTAAATACTTTTCATCTTTTCAATCTTCTTCATAAAGATTTATTTTGACACAAAAATTTGATTCATTATCATTATCATTTAATACTAAAATACTATTGTAAATTAAAACCTCTTCACATAATTCTATTTTTTTAATTTAATTATTACTTCAACTATTATTATCTTTATTTTTTTAAAATAAAATTTTTAACTGTTATTCTTTCTAAAAAAAAAAATTATTTCTAAATAAAGCTTGTCACCTTTGAGCCATGTTTAAGATCAACAATTATAGGCTAATCTACATTTAGCTAAAAACAAGCATACTTTAATATTTATAAATTTATTCTATTCATAGTTTTATTTTTTAATTTATTTATGTATCATTATTATAATAAATAATAGAATCAATTAATAACAAAAAAAATGTTTTTTTTTCGTTGGTTACAAAAACTCAAATCTTTTTAGATAAATAAGAATAATTAACTTTTATTATTTAGATTTTTCTAAATAAAGTTATCTACTGTAGCTGAAAATTCAGTTAAACCATCGGGTCTAACCATATTGAATCACGTAATAAAAACCGCGGTTCTTGGTCTTGAATCAATTTCAGTTACACAACCGGTTTAAAACCGGTTTATCTTTAACCGTTAACATCCCCAAGTTTGGCCATAGGCCACGTTAACAATAATTAAAAATGTATGTATATATAATCAATCAATAGTAAACCAATTTAATCAAAATATCACGTGAACAATTCATTCTGTATTTATAATTCTGCCCAAAATTAATGTTCGGCACATTTGATAATTCTGCCAATTTATGTTTACAATTTAAAAATCAAATGACTGACGATTTATTATAAACCACGTTTCAAATTATTTTATTAAGGGTTTAACCATGTCGAGCGAAACTTATTAACTTATTGCCTGATTAAACAATTATATTAATAATAATTCTTTATCAAGAAACTAGATGTTTATTATAATTATTATGAATCCTCTTCATCTTTTATACTCGCCTTCACAAGAAAAACATTCCCATTCTTATGATACACTATATACTCCAGAAATTTATATACCTAAAACAGTAATAAAATAATAAACTAAATATATATTCTTGATAACATTAAACGATTAACATGATTCTTTACCTTTTCAAAGTCCTCGAATTTTTCGGGGTTGTTTAGTTTTGAATCCAAATTGAAAACTTCAACAGACTTCTCATCATCATGTTTAAAGAAGGGTTTAATTGCAATCCAATGATAAGATTTCCAGAGATAAAAACGTATCGTTGGAACGTTCAAAATGAGTCCAAAAAGGGTTGCATCGGTGAATTGGATAACGGTTCGAATGTCTAAATAAAGGAGGAAAAGAAACCCTTAATACTTAGATTGCCAATACCTTTTACATTATTGTTATTTGCATTTATGAGCAGTAAAAACGAAAGGGTCACTTTTGATAACTATAGGGAGATTACGAATATGTTTGATGGAAAAAATCAAATGACCTTTTGATACCTTTTCTAACATCGAACCATTGTACTTCCAGACCTTTCTCCTTTAGAGCCATTTCCAAAACATTAATATCATAATTACCCACTTCGCTATAAAGGTTTTATTTCTTTTTTAAAAAAAAAAATTTTTTTAAAATATTTAATAATTTTTTTCGAGAAATTGAAATATACAAAATCACTCACAAAACGCTCTTGTGTGGATTAATAAAATAAGTTTTTCGTGTCGAACTCGCTGAACTTGTTGATTCGGCCAATTTTAGAGCGATATTATCAAGTTGTTCCTTTGTGAAAACTTTATCCTGAAACTGTATTCCAAAACAATAGAAATTAACAAAGAATTTGAAAGTACCAAGATGATATTTTCTCAAATATAACTTACCAAATTATTTAACGTGTGCTATATATAGTATTTAAACATAGTCAGTATATCGTTAATTTAATACCCTTTTTACCATACGTTTTAAACTTACCTGACCACAAAACCACAACCTTTGACGTTCATGATACACGGTTCTCTTCGTAACTAGATCAGTTTCTTCCATATGTTGTAAAAAAAAAAAGGTATTCGAAAGAGTGTTTTGGGAGGGAAACACCCGATCCAAATCAATAATAAGTGGAAAATCACCTGATTTACATCTCGCGTGATTATCTGTAACTCTAAATCTGATCGGAGTACAAAATCAAAATTTCAGCCCAAATTAGGCGTCGCGGAATCCCTTACATAAGTTCCGATGAACATGATAAATTCGCGTGAAAAAAACCTTTTTGATTTTTAACAATGACATTCCTTAGATTAGGTTAAAGTTTTGTTTAAATGAATCAAATAATTTCGATGAGGATGTGGGAAATTTAGACGAAACTCAAAATCGTATCTTTTAGGATATAAAAGACAAGTATAAAGTGACTAACGATCTGATCATAAGAAATTGCGTCAATAATGCTTGTTTGACAAAATGCTTTATATGGAGATAAAAGAATGCGGGGATGTGTTTTGCGTGAGACTTTGAATAGGCGTATTTAAGGTTAGGAGCTTGCAGCCCGAGTTACGATCTAGATAATAGATGAATATATCATATTGTACTTTCTTGATTCATCGGTAAATGCCATAATCATCATTCGGGAAGGTGATGTTTGAGAAATTTCATGATGAAACAAGTACGAAACTTGTTTAACTTGATTAATGGAGTAACGCACAATGATAATGCATCTATTGTTTCATTCAAAATGAGATTTAAGCAAACAAAAAAAAAAAACACGAAAAAGTCAATATGGATATTTATTTATTAACACAACGCGTAAGTTTTAAATGATCTGTTTGTGGAATATCCCTCCGAATGCGTTTTGTTTAGTTATTATTATTATTTTTTTCTAGTTACACTTTAATTTTGAGTGCATCTTAATTAATCTCTTTTTTGTAACATTGAAAATTAATTAACCTGCTGCGGTAAAATTATACGAGGAACGATCCGCCAATCAAATTGACCACGTGTTTCCTGGACCTGTTAGACCCTGTAAGATGAAACGTGTTTTTTTCTTTTTTTTTTTTATCCGTTAATCTATAAATGTGACAATCTCGAAAGAGAAAATTTGTGGGGGTAAATAAAAAAAGATAAGATTACTTGATTATCATTTGCATATTTAAACTTTTTTATTATGTCATTCATTACAAAAAAGAATGATATTTTAAATTTTAATCCCAAATATGTCTAACGAAATTTTTTTCCTGTAACACAAGTAAACAAATAACAACAAGATCTCACGTCCATTAAGGAAAATTTATAATTCAGGTACAATAATGGAAATATTTCGTTGTTTCTGGAATTCTGGAATTGACAGCAATGAAATGATCTGTTGTACAAGAGATAATAAATATGTAAAAGAATGGCACCAAAAAAGAATTTTATAAAGTTCAAAAAAATCTTTTTTTTTTTTTACGGGCTAACGGCCACATACACCAAAAAAAGGAATTACTTTTTTTTTTTTCCTTGTTTTCTGATATGCGTGAGAATGAGCGACTTTCTTTGAGCACTAATTCGGTGGGATGTGATTAAAGTAATCATCACTTTTTTTTTTTTTTTTTTTCCCAATGGGATTTTTGTATCTCATTTAATACAGTTTGAGAAATATTTAAAATGATCACGGACAATATGAAGATATTATATATCATATAAAAAAAAAAAAATAGATATGCTCGATGATTATCAATTCAAGCGTAAAGCTGCATGTCTAAAATGTTATAAGAACGAATCATTTCTACACGGTCGTTACGATAATCAGAAAATTTCCGGTTACGTATTCAATTTTCCGAGTAAAAACTCGATTTGAAGATCACAAGCAAATAATATCATAACATCATCAAACGTTTTATTTATGTCATGGTACAAAAAAAAAACTTTCATTTCCTCTTCATTTTTTCTATTCGTGCAGTGGAAAAAAAAAATAATTTTATTAATTTGAAAGTTTGATTGTCGATCGAATTACAATTACATTCAAATTCCTTACAAACAAACAAATAACGTTATAAATGCTAAGCATGTGGCAGCTATGAAGCATTCCATTTGCTTTTTATTTATCCGATAAAATTAGAACTGTTAAAAAAAATAACCAATCACAACCTCATGTCACTATCACAAAATATCGTATTGTATAAATAAATGGTTATAAGGAATGGAACAAACAAACCTTTCCCTAATCGAATTCTGATTCGAATTTCTACGTTGCTTACCCTTTCTTTTATGAAATTTTAAACATAACTCCACCCGACGAAAATGAATGCACCTGGTCAACAATTAAAGTTACCAATCCCTAGACTTTCGAATACCTCTTTACATTCGACTAATTGGCCAACAAATTCTCAACTTTCAACCAACTTGAACCCCGTCATTTGCCGTAAGTTTTAATACCCTTTTGTTTTCTCCCCCCAGAATTTACTTTTTTTGAAACTTTTCTTAACCTTTGTTGTCACGTTTCACAGAACCAATGTTGACACCTTCTATCGGTAAGCCAATGCCAAACAAACGTGGTCGTAAGCCCCTGTCAAAAATGCCCGAGACCGTAAGTAGTAGTTATTTCCAAATTGGTGATGTTCTAACAAAATTTGTGGGGTAATATCATTAATCATAAACCCATGCGATCTTTTTTTTTTTTTTCCTCGTTTTCAGAAAAAACATATTCAAAATTTGACAAATCAAAGGGCATTTCGTCGAAGAAAGGAAGATTATGTTCGCACTTTGGAAACTAAAGCTACGACTTATGAAATCTTATATACCGAAGCGCAAAGTCATATCAAATCATTACGGGAAAGATTGGCTTTACTCCAGAGAAGACTTGATAAAACTCAAGAAAGTAATAAATGTGATGCGTCCATATTTAGCCAGTCTATTGAAGAAACTCAACAAATGTGTGAAAGTAATTCCTATCGGTCAAATGAAAGGCAAAGTAATGAAGAAATTCCTATCGACGTTGAAATGAGCGATGGCACGTATGGAGGTACGTCATGTTCCAAACTTAAGAATTTAGATTTTTTTTTTTTTTAGACTTGATCACTTATCATTCATCCCCCTCCCTTTTGCGCGATACATCAGGCAATCAAGATGAATCAATTGAAGACATAATCAGGGATCCTTTATTTTGTGATACCAAAGAAGGGGACCTTTGCTTTTGTGAGCCCGTTTCGATTGAAGATTTAACAAAAGATCCATCACAATTATCGTCAAGTAATGATTCATTCGGTAGTTATTATTTGGATCATAAAGCAAGGAAACGGTTGTGGATTATCCCAAGCGGAGCGGTGTCACAATGTGCAACTCCGACGACGCCCTCTCAAACAATATTTTCAAATTTCACCACTTGTAATGATTCTCAACCTTCACGCGAAAATTGCCCAACGATTTCCTCACCGGAACGATCCGATTCTCAATGGCAATTGCAAGAAAATGACGAACAATGCAATTTTTCTTCTCCACCGCTTTCACCTTCTACAACACCTTCGACTTCTAATTTCACACAACCTCAACATCATCCATTAAATTTGAAATGGATTTTGGGAGATAATAATAACGATGAAAATGGTGATGATTCCGAATAATCAATTTTCTTTTTATTTATTATGTCCAACTTTTATTTTTCTTTAAATACTAAGTTATAGGATAAGGTATTATTTATATATATTATATGTGACAATTTTTATGAATAATTTTCAATACGAACCATATCTTCTCTCTCTCTTTTTTTCTTTTCTTTATTCCTTCTCCCACATCACATAAATTTTCTATGATTTAATTCTTTATGATTTTCTTATTCTCTATGTTGCCTTATTTTTTTTAAAAAAAAGAAAATATCCTTATAGCTATATATATTTTTTTCTAAGAAATTGCATTCGTTTCAAACTTTTTTTTTCACGTACATAATTTTTTCTTTAAAAAAAAAAAAAAAAAAAAAAAAAAAACCCCGAGATACAGTATAGTATATCTTATGAAAAAAAAATGCACCCTCCCCCATTCGAAGTTTTTCTATCGTATTTAGTTTTTCATCGCCCCTCACGTAATATGATTTATTTATTTATATATATAATATATTGTACATAGTTATAAAAAATTCAAAAAAATTCAAAAGAAACAATAATTACATATAAACAGTTATTTATATAGATATCAACAAAAAATAAAATTTCTTGAGGGAGAAATTTTTTTTTAAAAAAAAAAAAAAATCTTTTGAAGTTTTGACTTTTGAGAGCATTTTTTTTTTCTATATCACGTTCGCGCGAATTACTTTTTTAAATAGTTTAGTTTCTATGATCTTTATAAAAAATAATAAAGTTTAAAAGCATATCAATAACAAAACGAGAAAGAAAATTTATTATAATGATATCAAAATCAACAAGAATACAACTTATGGGAAGATTGCTAAGAAAATCAATTTTTTATTTTTAATTTTAGTTAAAAAATTCTCGGAACAGATTTTCCTATCAATCTTCCCATATAATAGAAACAATGCCAATTGCTATTTGTATCACAATATTAATCTAGTGTATTAAATGAATGTGTGAGATGTATCGATTTAATTCTATCAATTACGCGCTTATTTCATACATTTATGATTAATACAATGAGAACTGATTTTTGATTATTAATATTTTTTCTTTTTTTGTAATTTAAGTGAATTACTTCAAATTAAAATATTTTTTAATTCCAAGATTAAAAAAAAAAAAAAAAGAGAGACGCGATTTTATGTCTAGAGAATGAGTAAATAAGAACATTAAACGCATTTATCATATAAATTTAATAAGAATGCTAAAGGAGGATAAATTTTTATTGTGTGATTGATTCATCTGCTGATGGTCCTTTCCTTATGATTGGACTTGGCCTCCGAAGTGGACAAGGTTCTTGATCTATGAGGAGACATGATTAGAATTTAGAAATATTTTTGACGAGTTGAAATATAAAAACACTTACGACAACGAAAAGCATGCCTTTGCGAAGTGGAAAAGGCCAAATTCAAATTGATGAACAAGGTAATTATCAATGCGATATACACGAAAAATTTCATTTTATGAAAATTTTTTGTTACAAAGTTAAATATATTATACGTATATTATTTGTTATTTATGATTTTAGGAAAAAAATTTCTTGGGTGTAAATACTTCAATATCCGCGAGATAATCGTAACATTTATAGAAGAACTGGTGATACGAAAGTCACTATCATCCTTTCTTTCTAATTTAGGTTACAAAGGTTTTAAATTGTTCGATTTTATGAGATGCATAAATTCTTCGTGTTTTCGATATGAGTGGTACGTAAATAAAAAGTTATTTACACGATGTATAAAGATTAATATCTAAGATCCATTATGGAAAACAAAAGATGTGCGTGTTACATTGAGGCGCAGTATTTTTTGATTTTTTGATTTTCAAGAAAAATTTATTTCTTGAATAATTGTCAAACAAAGGAAAATCATTGTTTTGTTTCATTCATCCATCGACTTTTTTTTTTTTTTATAAAAAAAAAAAAATTTAAAAATTTAAAAATTAAAAATTAGAAACGTGTAATGAAATCAAATGATGCAATGATGCATCAAAGTATATTCAAGTAGGTTATATTTTCCATTTGAAAATGATTGTGTACAATTTAAATTTCATACCTAAAAAAATTTTACATTTTAATATCTATAATTTCTTCTCCTACTTTTGTTCGTGTACGGTCTGACCGGACAATATAATTTTGGATGATCGCCGCTACATTCACTGTTAAGACACTCATGAGCTCGCTTACAATAAGGACCCGAGCATCGGCCTTTATTCCAATTGATACATATTTCTTGCTCTTCCGTTTGATCTGATTCATCTTGTTCAGGTTCGGTTTTGAACATCACTTGAGAAATCAGGTGATGCAAACTCAAATCGTTCTGGTGTACCTTGAGCGTTAAAGTTCTATCTTCAACAACGCGAAGCCTTCTTGCCATATCATAATTATAAACCGCTTCGAAAGGGTATTGGGTGGTCATTTGTATGATATGTGAATCGTATTCACATAATTCTTCATGTCGATGAGGGTAAAGCATCGTAACCGCTTTTTGATAAATTCTAAATGCACTACTCCATTCCATCCAGCTCTGAATTGGACTAGTTTGTCTCCATGAGACATCATGAATTTGGATTTCGAAATCTTGATGTTCGAATAGACTTGCAATCCCGTCTTTTGTAAAATCTTCAAAATTCACATATTCAGACAACGCTACTTTCTCCCATAGATACTTTGGTAGGTTTGGTTTCTTGGGTAACATTTCTATTTGATGTAATCCCGCTTTGAGATTTGTTAACCACCATTGTCGACTTTCCTCAGTTTCACGCGCTGCTGGATCGGATATGCTTTTACGACAGAGATGATTCGTTTTAAGGGAATAATCAAATGGTTTTGGATCAGAATTAGCTGTCCATAATCCGAGCCATTCATCAGGTGAAGGCGGTCGACCATTATTGACGTTATAATTTTTAATATCATTCTCGTAAGATTGGAGAGCAAAGTTTGCTATTAATTTGGTTTCTTCAATTAATTTTTGTGAATCCACATTTGATCTTCTCTTGGTTGAAATTGCAGTGGTTGTTGTCGAGCTTGATGATACCGAGAAATCAGATGATGGTTCTGATTCCATTTTAAAATATTTGCCAAGTTGAAACGTTTCACGCGCATGTCTCATATTTCTGACGTGTAAATCCTTGTGCTTATTTCTTTTTTTCGTGTTTTTTTTTTTTTTCTTTTTGTTATTCCTTATTTATGTTATTGATGTGAACCTTTGAAAGTTATTTCTTTGGTGGGTAAAAGCAAAGGACAGTCAAGAATAATGGAAAAACTTTCTTTTCCCCTATTTTTTTTTTTTAAAAAAAAAGAGAGCCTTGTATAACTAACTCGATTCATATTAGAAATCCCCTGAATGCTAATTCTTTGTGTGAATAAGCAAGAGAACCGTTCAGGCAAAAGATTAGTATAAAGTAAACGTGTCGTCTTTCCTGTTAAAACACGTTCCTTCCGATTATAAAGATCGTCATGATTTGATTGATAATTTACAAAAAGTAGTATTCCTGCGCCAATCAAACGATAAAAATTATATACATGAGATTAATCAATTGAAAATTTATAAATTAATTTCAGTTTAATAATTGATAATATTCTTTTTTCTTAATTTCAAATTTTTTTACATTTCCTTATAAAAGTAAAAATTTTAATACTATATTTTGATTATAAATTATACGTGTTATTTACATTTACATTTACATGAAATAAAAAAATTTATTTATAAGTTTAATAATGATTTATTATACTTAATAATTATTTTTGATATTTTCTTTATTAATAGAAAAAAATTTGAAATTTTTTATGTTATTTATTTTAAATTTTATAAAATTTATTAAATATAATATTATTATTTATTAACTTTAACATTAAATATATAAAAAAAAAATAATAATAATTTATATTAATCTATAAATAAATGAAATATTATCAAAAATTAATAAAATTAATAAATACATGGTGCAAAAAGTCTATATTTAACAATATAAATGTAACACTTAAAATCTTTCATCTTTTTAAAAAAATAAAATTTAGAAAAAATAAACTGGTAACTTTATTCTTTAAGATAAGTTTTATTAAACTACCAGTCAGTTTTTCAAATAAGTTTTATATAAAAAGTTATAGGCATTCAAAAATGGATAATTTTCATATAATAGTCATAAATTTAAAACATATATTATTTATTGAAATTTATGATAGTTCAAGCTGGCATTATAGTAATTAATCATAATTTTCAGCCTAAATTATTATAATTTTAAAATGATATATAAATAAAATAATTAATAATTTATTTTTTATTAGTCAATTACTAATTACATGATATAAAATTCACAAAAAATTTTAAAATATTGTTGAGATTAAGACTTTCAGTATTATATTATATTTTTAATTTTTAAATAAAAGTTTAAATTAAAAAAATTAAATAATATTTAAATTTAATAAATTATTAAAAGATAAATATTTTAAATATTATACTTTTATATATTTTTAGTTGATTAAATATTTTTAATTTATAAAAATTATTTAATAGTATATTATTTTTTAAACTATAAATAAATATAGTTAAATCTTCAATATAATGAATTTTAATATATCAAATAATACAATATAATAGATTTATAATATGATACAAATTTTATTATGAGAAAATCTTATTATATCAAATTTTATTAGTTAAATACTATATAACATTTACCAAAATAAAATGTATAAATATACATATATAAAAAATCCTTTTTATACATAACAAATTTATTTTAATATTTTTTTACAAAATTAATTTTTAATTAAATTATAAATGATATTTTAATATTGATTTTTTTTTCAAATATAATAAAATACATTCTTATAATATTAATAAAAATGATTTTTGCATATTTTATATTTTATTTTTTTTTTATTACATAATTTTTTTAAAATACCAAAATAAAGTCAACTTTTAACTTTTATATAACAATCTAAAATCTCTAGAAAAACACAAAATTTTTATTATAATACAAAAAATAAGTTTATTTAAAAA